CCACTCCATTCAAGGGCCTATTTATTGTATAAGCACTGCAGTGGCTGAAAACAGAAGTGATGACATGAGCTGCTCTGTCGGATAAGACAGGCTGGTTGTTTAGTGCCTTCTCTTCGGTGGATGCTCTGTGGTGGGCATAACATTAGGCAAAAGGATCCACAGAGTTTGTGGTCACTCCCAAAGGTCCATTAATATGCCTCTTCCTCAAACTCCCTTGTTTCCAAGATTCCATTTTGCTCTTTGAAGCCCCTGAGCAGCCATCTAAGCCATGTGACTGCTAGGGGTAAGGGGTTAGATACACGTTTATCCATACTTCAGATCATTTTCCCCTCCATACAAATGAACAACCAACTGCACTGCTTATAGCCTTTCCCGCTGGAAGGATTTCTTCATTATTTTTTGTCAGGATTACCATTGAGTGTAGCTGTAGGGTGGTGACAGTCCATTTTTGATCAGCACCAATATGCCGAGCTGACTCATTTGTGACCTGAGCCTCATTTTCTACCTTGTCTCTCAGCTGTCATGAGGAATCCCCCATGATGTCATATAGATAATTGGAGGAAGAGGCAACAGTGCAATTGAGACAGATGAGTGGAATTCTGGGTGTGTTTCTGATATTAACACACCTCTTTCTGTAATGACCTCTGGACCTCCTCAGATATGATCTGAATGCACTATTCTATCATTTGACAGAATGATGGTTTATTAGCTTGACTGCATGACTCATTGGATTTGATAGTATTTATCTTGTGTTATGAAACTCTGGTCATATATTCATTCAATATCCCGTGGTCAGGCACTCAGGCTCTTCCACAGCTCTTTTTTCTAACATCAAGTAGTTTTCTGCTACAAAAGTCCTGCCAGTAGTCCACAACCCTGGAAAATCTGCAATGTATCTCTCATATTAGGTCTTTCTAGGGACTCCATGAAGCATTTTTATCCACAATGGTTAGCTCTAGCATCATGGGATCTGTTGAGCCACATGGCCTGAAGAGCAGAGCAGCTTACACCACACTTTGATCTTCTGCAGAACTCCTTCTTCCTCTACACACTATAGATCATATAGTCCCTAAGAACTTTGTTGATGTGACAGGGCCCTGAATTTGTGTGGGTGCATCTCTCCCCTTCTGGCATGTATCTCTCTTACTAAGGAATCCAGTGTATTTGCTATTTCCCATACAGGAAGTCTAATTAGAATGATATTACTAACATAGTGGACAAATAAGATGGTTTATGAAATAGCAACATGATCTGGGTTCTTGTAGACTATACTAAAACTACATTGGGGCGCCTGGGTGGCTCAGTCGGTTAAGCCTCCGACTTCGGCTCAGGTCATGACCTCACAGTTCATGTGTTCGAGCCCTGCCTTGGGCTCTGTGCTGACAGCTAGCTCAAAGCCTGGAGACTGTTTCAAATTCTGTGTCTCTGTCACTCTCTGACCCTCCCCTGCTCATGCTGTCTCTGTCTCGGTCTGTCTCTCTCTCAAATAAAAACATTAAAAAAATTTTTTAAAAAACTACATTAAAAGACTTACTATAACCCAGAACAACTGCATGGATATGTATTGCTCTCATTCAAGTGTAAATGCAAGTTGTTTTTGATTCCTGTTACTGATAGAGATTGAAAGGAATGCATCAACCAGATGAACAGCTGCATGCATATTAAGTCCCAGAGTTTGTGTTGATCAGTTGCAGTAAAGATACCAAATCTGGCAGGACAATTATAGTTGGGACTACCATTTAGTTGAGCTTATGATAGCCCACCACCATATGTTTGATTTATCTACTTTAACAAGGGTCATATAAAACATTTGAATGGAGAAATAAGGACCACTACTCATTCTTTTGCTATGTTTTTGACAGGAGTGCTAATAATCTCTGTAACTCTCCTCAGGATAATGTATTGCTTCCTGATTCACTGTTGTGGCAGAAGGATGTATGGGCAACTTTAGAAGCTTTGACTTGGTCCATTCTACTGTAATGACTCTTGTTTGATAGGTCATGAAACCAATGTGAGAGTTATGTGAGTTGATTAGAATCTTTATCACAGTTATGTAGTCTTGGAGTGGAGAAATAACCATGGTAAGTTTGCAAACGCATTGAATCTACCTCTGAGATGGACTTGTGCCATGTCTCCATTATTCTGTTTCCTCCATGAGCCCCCACTCTAACCAGAGGACCAAAATGGCATTTTGGATCCTTGGCATTAGGATCACCTCAGAACTTATATCCAACAATCCTCAAGAGGTCTAGGTAATCCTCTTTCTTCACTGCACATTCAAGTAAATGAGTGCATGTCCTTGTGGGAAAGAATTGAAGAAATATTTATCATATTTATTTGTTATAGCATTGCAGGACCTTTATGAAGAGCAAGTTGGCTTAGACCTCAAAACTGGCTGTAGGAGTATATTATCTAAATGGTAACTGACATCTGCTCTCCAGCTGCTAGTCTTGTGGATTATGTAAGTCTGGTTATACTTGCCATAGTTATCATAGTTTTGGGTTGCCCATTCATCTTCCTGTGATCTCTTAAACAAACAACAGGCCCTAGTTGCCATTCTGTTCTTGTTGCTATGAAAAGATGAGCTCAAGGATAAATTTTTCACTGGGGAATATTACATATAAAAGAAGCAACAGACAGGACAATTGACACAAATTTAAAATAATCTTAATTCATAATCCTGACCCCTCAACATGTTTTTCCCCTGTATTTCCCTTCCTTGATTTGCTGGGCCACCATTCAACTTGTTTCTCAAATTTAAAAATTACAGAATGATCCAAGACTTTTCACTCTCCCTACATTTGTATATCTATATCATACATTCTAACAAGTAGAATTTTTTCATAAATAAATAAAATATAAATAAAAGTAATAGAAGACATGGAAAAAATAGAACAGAAAGATAGTTAATAGCTAAATTTCTTCTAATCTTTAAGCCCCAATCTCTTCCTGCAGATGTAATGACATAATTTCCTGCTGGTATATTTATGCATATACCAGCTTATGTGTACATGTATGTATGCAGACTCTATGTTCACATATTATTACATACTTAAAAATTTATTTGAGCACAAACAGGATTATACAACATACCCTATTCCATTCCTGAATTATTTCCCTTGAATTCTGGAAATCGTTTGGTTTCAATAGGGATGCATTAAAAATTTTTAATGGCTGTATTTCAATTATACAACTATACCACCAATTCCTATTTATGGTCAGTTAAGGTATTGCCCATTTTTCTTTGGTATTATAACATTTCTCAGTAAATATCTTTGTGTAAATATCTTGGTACCAAGTGTTTTGAAATTTTTCACAAAATAGTCATAGCAGGAAATTTTTTAGTATTTTCTAGTATTTTCTTTAACTGAAAATTTTCTAATATGAATTGATATATTAAAGCATCCTAAAACAAATAAGAAAAATATGACCAATCTTATAGAAAAATGTACCAAAAAATGAACAGAAATTTCACAGAAGAGGAAGCATAAATAGTCCTAAACCTATGAAAAAATGTTTCAAAATTTGAAGTATGGCTTCTACTGAATGCATTATCACTTTTGCACCATTGTAAAAATTTTCACCCTCACTAGTAATGAGGGAAATTAAAATTACAACCACAACAAAATAGGACTTCACATGGACATGAATGACAAAAATTAGAAAGTCTCAAGGGGTGCCTGGGTGGCTCAGTTGGTTAAGTGTCCAACTTCAGCTCAGGTCATGATCTCACAGTGGCATCAAGCTCTGTGCTGACAGCTCAGAGGCTGGAGCCTGCTTTGGATTCTGTCTTCCTCTCTCTCTTCCCTTCCCCCACTCGTGCTCTGTCTGTGTGTCTTTTTCTCTCTCAAAAATAAATAAACATTTAAAAAGAAAATCTCGAGGCCCCTGGGTGGCTCAGTCGGTTAAGCATCTGACTTCGGCTCAGGACATGATCTCATAGTTTGTGGGTCCAAGTCCCGCGTCGGGCTCTGTGCTGACAGCTAGCTCAGAGCCTGGAGCCTGCTTCAGATTCTGTATCTCCCTCTCTCTCTGACCCTCCACTGCTCACGCTGTTCTTTCTTTCTCTCTCTCTCTCTCTCTCTCTCAGAAAATAAACAAAAAAACATTTAATTTTTTTTTTTTTAAAAAGAAAAAATCTCATAATACCAAGAGTTAGCAAGGATGTAAGATAAGGAGAACTCTTAATACACTACTAATAGGAGTATAAACTGGTGTGACAACTTTGGGAAACACTATGGCTTATAGATGCCTCTCTTCTCTCTGTATCTTCATGTAGTTTTCTCTCTCTCTTCTCTCTCTCTCTCCCTGTGTGTGTGTGTGTGTGTGTGTGTGTGTCTATATCCTAATCTCTTCTTATAAGGACACAAGTCATGTTAAATTAGAGCCCACCCTAGTGACCTCTTTTTAACTAACCTATCTCTTTAAAGACCCTATCTCAAGGCACCTGGGTAGCTCAGTTAGTTGGGTGTCTGACTCAGGGCATGATTTTGATTTTTGATTTTGGCTCAGGTCATGATCCCAGGGTCTTGGGACTAAGATTTGTGTCTGGCTCTGAGCTGGGTGTGGAGCCTGCTTTGGATTCTCTCTTTCTCTCCCTCTCTCTCTGCCCCTTCTCCACTTGCACTGTCTTGCTCTATCTCTCAAAATAAATAAATAAACTTTTTTAAAGACCCTATCTCAAAATACAGTCACATTCTGAATATGAATTCTGGAGGGTTACAATTCATCCCACACCAGGCACTTAGATCACATCGAGATTTTAATGTTCTCTTCTGTATTTATATTTTTTTCCATAGGTGTCCCCCGACTGCAATTTCTTAACTCTAATGATTTAAAATACTGTCTGATGAATAGTTTCTAAGCAGTGGTTCAAATATTTTGATAATTTTCTGAGGTGTTAACTTTTTGATATTTTACATCTTTCCAAGTCCAAATAAACCATTCCTGAGCAAAAGTGAAACTGACTGCATTTATACTTCCTCATTCTGCTTCTTCACGGCAGATCTCACACACCCTCAGAGGAGTCGGCCAGAGAACTTCACAACTTAATTTCTTGGTTTTCTAAAAAGGGTCTTACAATCTTATTTCTCCTGCCCAGCAGGAAAGGATTAAGAAAACAAAGGTTGAAATCAACTGCTTCAACTTTCCAGTATAAAAAGAGGAAGTTTTCAGGAAAATCCTGGTAAGTTACACAATCAGTAAACTTTTATATTTTCTGCCGATAGGATGGCTATTTTTTTTAAAACCCAAGCTGTACTTTTTATATAAATACTTGTGTTGGCACAATATTGCTTGCAAAAATGTTGAAAGTAATTAGAAATATTAATAGATATGTATCGACATATTTAACTGAGGCTAAATTTGTATATGCTCTTCTAGAAAGCAATGTACTGTTAAGTGTAGGTGGAGTGGTAAGAACTTTACGGTCCTATAAGGCAGTAAGACAACAGAGAAACAATGCAAAGTTCAGGAATGTAAACGTTAAAGATTGTAAAGGAACTTGTGGTCATGTGCAACTATGTGAAATTCTGTCTTCCATAACTTAAGATGTTACTAGAAGCTTTACATTTAATCAAAGATAGCACTCTCCAAACGCTATTTGTCTTTGTAAGAAGTCTCTTCACATTCTTCTCCCCCACCCCCACCCCGCAATCTGGTTACAAACTGAAAATGGAAACTTAACCAGGAAATGAAACTTAACTTGCATTGTGTGTGGTTTCGTTTCTTCAGACCAGCAGGGGGGGATGTGTAGCCCTTCCAGACTAGCGTCAGGATCCTTCAGAGACTCTCCCTGAAGATCAGCTGAGTCCTACTGAACATAACTGCTGGGAGCATAGATATTTGGGATCCTCTGAGGACCCCCCTGAGATGAGGGTAGGTGGGCACCAACGCTGGACCCTATGCACTCCGGTGATTTGGCACTTCTTGTTCAATACCTAAAGAGAGAAAACAGTAGTTGCTGAAGGATGGCATCCTGTAGTTCCTTTGCTAATAATTAATGTCATTACTGGTAAGATTTGCGTTCACAATTGTTTCAAAACAGGAAGATGAGGGCTCCCAGGAAGCCAGTGTTATGTCAAGTCAGTCTCAAAATTTGTCCACACCAGTCATTTTGATCTTTGCTTAGCCCCAACAATATATATGCAGATGCTCTTATAACCGAAAGGTACAAACTATTTTAAAAGCATTACTGAACATAATAAGTTCAAATTATTATATGTTCAGAACTGCTGTCATGAGAGGAGAGGGAGATTGAGAACCCTTTGACATTATAATCAGTCCGAGATATTATTAAAGAGCTTAGTATATCATGTTAAGACAAGGTATTGTCAATTTTTCCATTTAACAGAAGAAAAGACTCCAGATTTGGGGAATAAATGTCTGTGACCTTAACTGAGAACAGTGTTTCTACCTCCCTGGTATCTAACAGCAGAAGCTGAAGCGAGAGAAAGCTGCCATTTCTTAGGTGGCACAAAGTTATAAAGCACTGGACAGAGCACACAGTGAGTTGCTGGCTGTATAGAGGCATAAAAGCTGTAAGAAGAAGGGATATGCTGCAGAGGGAAATTTCTGATGTGCTGCTTCATTTCTAGAATGTTGGACCTTAACAAATATATTTTTAATAAACTTAAAAAAATTAAAAGGGATGCCAGGCTGGCTTACAGAAGAGCATGTGACTCTTGATCTCGGGGTCACGAGTTCGAGCCCCACACTGGGAGCACAGATTATGAAAAAAAATTTTTTAAATAATGAACTTTAGAATGCTGTGCCTTGGTGAAATTGCTATAATCACTGACTAAAACAAAACAGAAAACCTTGAGTCTGTCCTCTCAGTCTTTAGGATACCCAGAGACAGGGTAGGTGGTTAAATTACTGAAAGAGGACTCTGACTAAGAGAAGTTTCGCAGCAGATCTGCGCAGAGTGTGTCTGTGGGAAGGTGGTAAGTCCCTCACCAGGATCAGCTTTCCAGAGCAGAGGCAGCAGATGAGAACAGCAGAGGTGCTGAGGTTCTGACACTGAGGACCCAGAAAAGAGAAAGAAACATAGTCCAATATGAGAAATGATCTTATCTGGAAACTGTGAGTGACACAGCAGAAATGATACTGGATATTATGAAACTAGGGTAGCTAGAAGTACTAGAGGAGAAAACATACTTATTAATTTTCCTTTCCTTTTGACAAAATTTCCTTTTCCTTCCTTGTGACCAGGTGATTGAAGCTAGAATTAGTTCTGGCCCTTATCAAGCAGCCTAGTAAGCATATATTCCTAGATTTCTGTGTGGGATTCAGGCCGAGGGAAAGCACTGCCCTAGTGAAATGAGCAGTCCCTTAGTCCTTGGACCCACAGACATGGCTAACTCAGGAGCTGCCGAAAATTCATTATTTTAAACTACTCTGAGAAAATGTTACTCATTCAACATGTAGTTGAATGTAGCTTTTTGTTAAAAGCTACTCTGTGCTAACCACTGTAAAATAGTGAATACATGTAAAAACTCCTGGTCCTCATGAAGTACACAGAAATAATGGGTGGGACCAAAAAAGAAACAAGATACATAAGTATGAGTATGTGGAATACTTTATTATGATAAATACTAAGTATATATATTTAAAGAGAAAAAAACAGAGGAAGAACAGGAAATACTGGAGACGGACTAACGTTTTCAGCAGGCTGGCTAACCATGCCTCAATAAGAAGGTGACATGGGATGAAAGACCTGAGCGAAGGGAAGGAGTGAGCCCTGCAGGTATCTGAGGACGTCCCACGGAGTCCAAGCAAGCACAGTGCCAGAAGCAGAAGTAGGTTCTTCCTGCAAGAAACAAGAAGGGGCTGGACCAGCTTTAGAAAGAGAAATGAAAATAAGATGCAGTACCAGAAGGGTAACAGGGTGCCAGGTCATGTGAGGCCTTATAGTTTATAACAAAGAGCTCAGCTCTCACACTGAGTCAAATGGAAAGCCACTGGAGGGATTGAACACAATATTGGCACATGATTTACATTTGAACAGGGTCACGCTGGCTGCTATTTTGAGCCGCCCCCAGCAGGATCAATAATAGCAAGAGTGAAACAAGTGAGGGAGCTGCTCCTGTCATCCAGGAGAGAGGTGGGGTCTTAGATGGATTGGTAGCCATGGAGGTGGTGGCCGGTGGTCAGATGCCAGATGTGTTTTAGAGAGACAACCTACAAGATTTGCTCCACATTGAATGTGAAATGTGGAAGAAGAGAAAGAATGCCTGCAACAGATTTTTGGATGCTTGTTTAATGTATTAAAAGTATTTAAATACAAGAGGAGATGCCATCTTGCTGGAAGATATTCTTTCAAATCTTGTACATGTTTGACTTTTCACAATAAGAAGTTAGGGAAGAGATCTGTCTCATAAAGAGTTCCTAAGCAACAATCCAATCAATTTTCTTGATACCATTTTGTGTTTCCATTTTCTTTGATATCATTTTGTTTTTTGATGTAACAGATTCTCAACAAAAAGCAAAACTGGAAAAGGATCAGATCTGTTCTGCCTACATCTGAATTTCCTCACAATTGCTTTCCAGGACAATACTCTTGCAAAGTTTCAAGAAAAGACAACTAATTTAACAGCTTGAGGTCAAAGTACCTCATGAAGAACTATTTTAAGTTGCTGATATAAAAAGTAAGTTTTCAGAAAAGGCTTTGTGAGTTTCTAATTATTGAAGATATCTGTTTCATCAAATTTCTTTAAAAGCTGTTTTTAAAAATTAAGTCTAAAAAGTAGAGTAGAACTTGGAAAATGAGTATATTTTCAAGTGTACATGAGCTATTTCTAACGAAATGATTCTAAAAGGAATGAGAAATATTCCTGTTTGCACATATATGTATCGCTAGATGTAACTTGCACTGACTGCAGAATTGTTAAAAAAAAAAAAAAAGATTTTTAACGTTTATTTATTTTTGAGAGACAAAGCACGAGCAGGGGAGAGGCAGAGACAGAGAGGGAGACACAGAATCTGAAGCAGGCTCCAGGCTCTGAGCTGTCAGCACAGAGCACAACGCAGGGCTCAAATTCACAAACTGTGAGATCATGATCTAAGTGTAAGTCAGATGCTTAACCGACTGAACCACCCAGGTGCCTCTGCAGAAGTCTTTAAAAAAGAAACCTTCCAACAACCATGGTGCGGAGTGTTTCTAGAAATGGAAGTCTCCAGAGATGAGTCTAGAAAGACCTAAGTGAAATGTTGATCAGAGGATCAGGAATTGAAGCATACCCACCTGTGTAGAAAATTGTAGCCATGTGCAGCTATGGCAACCCCTGTCCTGTATAACCCAAGATGATAACAAAAGTTAGATTAGACCCACCAAAGTTTAATTATTTTATTTTTTAAAATATTTATTTACTTTAGTAATCTCTACATCCAACATGGGGCTTGAACTCACCACCCCAAGATCAAAAGTTGCATGTTCTTCTGACTGATCCAGCCAGGCACCCCTAATCATTTTATTTAAGGTTTTCTTTCACAACTAGCTTGTACAAAGACTATGGGAGGAAATACATCATTTTAACGTGCACTTCCAGAAATGTAACTAGCCTGACTGGCAGTTTCATTTCTGAAGAACAGTAGGCCTGCTGATCCCCAATTGTGTACGTTCTTCCCTAGAGGCAAAGATACCTGTGGGCTGCTGAGACCTAGCTTCCTGGAGACAGGGGTGGGCACCACTGCTTGCCCTAAGAGCTGTTTGGTTTGATCCTTCCTGATCAACCCCAAAGTGAGAAAATAAAAGTTTTCAAGAAATGAGTCCTGGGACACCTGGGTGGCTCAGTTGGTTAAGTGTCAGACTCTTGATTTGAGCTCAGGTCATGTCCCACCGTTTGTGAGATCACAGCCCATATTGGGCTCTGTGTTGATAGTGCAGAGCCTGCTTGGGATTCTCTTTCTTCCTCTCTCTCCCTCTCTCAAGAAAGGAAGGAAGGAAGGAAGGAAGGAAGGAAGGAAGGAAGGAAGGAAGGAAGGAAAGGAGGAAGGAAGGAAGGAAGGAAGGAAAGAAAGAAGGAAAAAAGGAAAAGAAAGAGAAAGAAAGAAAGAAAGAAAGAAAGAAAGAAAGAAAGAAAGAAAGAAAGAAAGAAAGAAAATAGAGAAAGAGAGAGAGAAAGAAAGAGATGGGTCCTGAAATTGGGTACTCATAGGAAAACTCTGGGATTCAAAAATTTCCCAGAACAGAATAAAGGAGAGAGGTCTTCTCCCCAGTTCCAAACAGAGCAACACCTTTCTCCATTTTAGACCTTAAGGTTTTATGTGGTTTTCTTTTTAAGAAGTAGAACAAGAGCAAGAAACAACCAAGACAACACTGGTTCTATCCCTTGCTCCTATACAATGAAAACAGGTTGGCTGAGAGGAGACATAATCAATCATGACATTGTTTTCCTGACAACCCCTTCCCTTTATTTATACTGTGTAACTTCTTGTTATACATAAAGGTCCCCTGTATTTAAAAAAATATGCCAACACTCCAGGATGTAAGTCTAATCAGATAATGTTCAGGAAATGACTTTGTCAGCCTCAGAATAGTGAAATACATTAAAGTTCTAAATAAATAGTAACAAATCATCACCCAAAATGAGGTTGAAAACACACTGGGCCAAAGAATTATACCAAAGCATCATTAAAGCATTTTTGCCCAAATTTTGGTCACCTTGAATTAAATACATGATCCAAGTATGGATCATAGACCATATAAGATGGTTGTATAATTGACAGAATGCAAAATTCATGTGAAAGCATTACCAAATATATAGTAACTTCAGATCATTATGTATCTTCTCAGCTCCCATCACAGCAGTGGGCAGCTGAGAAATTTTTTAATGTTATAAAAGGTCTTCATCTTTGAACAGTAGGGAGCCTGTGAGATAAAGTAGAGATTAAAAACAGATTTGGGGAGGACAGATGCACTTCCGATTTGAGAAGAATGCTCCCATTTCCCTGTGATTCCCAGCAGAATTCAAACAATAAAGGAAAAGATGTCTCCCTAGCAGGTAGCCCAAAGACCAGCCCTTCCACATCCCCACATTACACGTGGACACACACTCCTTTCTGTAGAGTGCTATAGTCTAGTGGGATTGCTATACTTACTGGCTAAATCAGAAGAGAAAATCTAGAGCTTTTCCTTACAATATTTGGGGTACCCAGAGGAGAAGATGAGAAAGGATGCTGACTAAGAGAAGATATTGCCACAAACCTGGACAGAGCACGTCTGTGGAGAATGACAAGAGCATCTCCCAGGAGAGATACCCAGAGATGTGCAGATCTCCTCTCCAGAGCAAGGAGTTAGGGACAGTCCATTCAAAGAACAGAAACTAAAACTAAAATAGAATGTATGAACCTAGTAACAGAAGAAAACTCAAGAACAGTATAGTGGTAGATGTGGTTTTAGGAGCTCAGAGAAGCTCTCTTCTGATTGTTTCAGTTTCCTCGTTGCAATAGAAAGCAGGGTTACAGCGGAAAGAGACAATAGTGAGGAGGTTGCGGAGATTTGATGAGAGAGAAGAATGTGTGAAATAGCCATTTCGGACAGTGAGAGAGTGAATACAGCAGGGAAGCAGAATGGTAGCTTGGAGCATTAACAGTCTGCTGGAGGACAATGGTCATGACTTTAAAGTGAGAGCAGTTGGGACATGCAGGGTCATTGTCCAGCCATGTTCCACCGAGCTGACAGACAGAGAACAAGAGGAGGGAGGAGAGGGCAAGTGATTATAATGAATGAACAAAAAAATTAAGCTAGTTACAAGGGAGAGGCAGTGAGGAGATGCAGTGCCGGAGGCCGTGCCGGCTCCGACAGGTCCAGGGGTCCCTGAAGGATGGACGGTGTCGGCGAAAGAGAGAGTGAGAGAGCCCCGTGATTCTTTCTGATCACCAGGCAGGCATCTCTGTCCTGTCAGTTTTGGTGTCTTTATTTATAGGTTAAATGATAACATGACATCAGAAAAAGGAATTTTTACAATGGATAGCTCTTTGTGATAAGATGCTTTGGAAAGTGTACAGAAGCAGGTTTTACAGAAATATTCTTGCAGAACTATTGCAATTATAGTGAGGTTAAGTAAATCTTATAACTAGAGAATTAGGGTATTCTTAGTAAAAGACAGGATACATATTTGTTCTAAGTTAATAACACTAAGGTTAGGTCATAGGTTAAGTGTATAGATGGGCTAAGAGTCATTCTGTCTGGCTCTCAAATGAATGTTTTTGAGTTGGTTAATAAGTTGTTTGTGGATGCGACATTTGATGCCGAATGTGTGAACACCATGGAGGCCCTAAATGTGTCAGCCTTTTGTTTGTGGGTAATGTTTTAGCTACTCTTATCTGTCCTCATCCCAGCCACCTGTAAGGGAGGGCGTTTGCAGAAAGTAGGCGTTGGGGAAGGGACTGCCATACATCACCAATTAGGAGAAGGTGTAAGTATTAACTTAAGTTCTGCCCTTATCTGTACCTTAACTCTAAATTAGGCTCTTTGTCTCGGGGCCAGGCTCAGTTGTAATTCTTGTGTTCTTAACCCTCTAAGTCTTGGATCTGCAAGGCCCTTAGGAAGAGCCTTTTGACAAGCATCCATAGACCTTTCATCTAAAATCTCTCTTGTAAAGGCAGGAATATGCTTTTCCTTATGAGGTATCTGTGTTCAGAATATTGGTCTGATATGGAATATTGTGAGGCCTGGTCAATACCAGCACAACACGAGCCAGTAGTAGCAGGAGATACCAGTTTTCATTTCTCATGGTAGTAGCTGTGCAAACACTGCCATTTCCTTGCTGTGACTGCCATCCATAGAGGCCGGTGTGGCTCCCGGCAATGCAGGAGGGAGGTACTTGAATCCAAGATGCTGGAAGGCTTGTAGTCATTAGTGATTCTATCAGTTGGCTCGGGCTGCTATAACAAAGTACCGCAAACTGAGTGGCTTAAACCACACAAATATATTATGTCACAGTTCTGGAGGCTGGAAGTCTTCTTTAAGATCAACATGTTGGTGAGGTTCTTTCGTGTGGAGGGCTGTAAATGGGAATGTGTTCCCTGATTTTCCTCTAGCTTCTGGTGGTTTGCTGGCAATATCTGGCGTTCCTTGGCTTATAGATCACCCCAGTCCCTGCCTTCTTCTGCACATGGTGTTCTCCATGTGTGTGTGTGTGCCTCTGTGTCTAAATTTCCCCTTCCTAATAAGATACCAGTCATATTGAATTAGGGCCTACTCTAATGGCTTCATATTAACATCTTCAATGACCCTATGTCCAAAAGGGCTGTGCTCCAAGGAAGTGGGGTGAGGACTTTGTCACATCAGCCTAAACCTGTCAGGAGGCAATAATTAAGCAAGAGTATCTATTGAGATCAAAAATTGTATTTTGGAGTACATAGATTTAGGCAGCAACCCACATAGTGTCCCATTAAGAAAAGTCAGGGGTTTTTAAGGCAAAAAGGGAATGTTCATATACATAATGTTGCTTACAAAGAATTTTTGATTGGAGCATCTCAGTCAGTTAAGCATCCAAGTTCAGCTCAGGTCATGATCTCACAGTTAGAGGGTTCAAGCCCCACATCGGGCTCTGTGCCAACAGCTCTGAGCCTGGACCCTGCTTTAGATTCTGTGTCTCCATCTTTCTCTGCCTTCTCCTGCTTTCTCTCTCTCTCTCTCTCT